GTCTATTAAGGGCTGTTCTGCTTCTGACACAGCACCTCCAATAATGTGCCTTCTGGAGAGGTGGACAATCAGGATCTCAAATGCTGGAGGCAGAATGGTAATGTTTTCCCCCTCATCAAGCCTTTTTCTAAGCACAACTTAGTCCCAGTCACAAAGGTTCTACCCTCATGAGTTAAATCACTCCACAAAGGACCCAGTCTTCATACCATTACATTTCTGGCTAAGTTGCAACATGAATTTGGGAGGGAGCAAAAGCTAAACTGGTGTATGCTGCAGAAGGAATGTTGCCAATGTTGCCTGTTCTGAGCATGAAGTCCCCAAACCCACAAGGCCTGCAGAGAGACTTTCAAAATGACTGTCTTAGCCAGGTGATGGTGGCACATGCCTTTAATGCCAGCGTGGCCTACAGAGTGAGGTCCAGGACACCCAAGATTACACATGGAAGCCTTGTATCGAAAACAGACAAACACTCCCAAACAACCAAAACAAAACAAAAAACAAGATGATTGTCTGGACCAAGACTCGTGTTTTATCAATAAGAATATCCAAGGGTAAAGTGGCATAACTTACTCCTGGTTTTCTAGCCTGTTAAAAGGAGAGAAGGAAGCTAGAATTCCGATTCCCCCACCATACGTGTTTCTTCAGGCTATTTTCTCTCCAGATAGCAGTAGCATATGTGTTTTCTCATACTCTGGAGGCATCCTCTCTAGCTTCTGGATGTAACGCTGTAAAATTCAGCTTTCTCTTATGAAATTGGGAGCCAATATTAGGGTCTGCTCCACAGGTTTTTGATGAACAACCAGAAGATCAAAATTTTTCTCAGCTACATAGAGAGTTTGAGGCTAGTCGGGGTTGCATAAGATCCTGTCTCAAAAGCCAACAGTAGGAACAAGATTATTTATAAAGTTGTTTCCAAATATATAAAAAAGTATGCAAATAATGACTCAGGGAATAGGGTTGGAAAATAAAGAGTAACTACTCACTCATGAGATAAAAAAATTGTGGAAAAAAATCACTGCTAATCTAATACTGTCTAATTAATTTACTGAGGTCATCAAAAGTTCTAGGAACCAAGCTGGCATCAAGTAGGACATAAAATAACAAGATTTATTGTGGCTAGTGAGAAACAGAAACAAAACCAGCAAACTAATTTCAGTTATTTCAGTTGTTCTTCAAAGTTCTCTCTGTGACCAAAGTAGTCTACTCCATGAATTCAAGGATGGCTGGACATTTAGAAACCACTAGAATTTTCACATCAGCAATATTTAAAATTAAAAACAATACCAAGGTTTACGGGCCTCAGCAATGTAGCTTTGTGATAATGATAGGTTTGAGATAGAGTATATGACTCAAGAGGGACCCTGGGAAGAGGATTATTGGCAAGTAAGGAGTTTATTTTATTGTTTTGTTTTGTTTTGGTTTGGTTTTTCGAGACAGGGTTTCTCTGTATTGTTTTGGAGGCTGTCCTGGAACTCGCTCTGTAGACCAGGCTGGCGTCGAACTCACAGAGATCTGCCTGCCTCTGCCTCCCAAGTGCTGGGATTAAAGGCATGTGCCACCAACGCCCGGCGGGAGTTTATTTAAAAGTTATAATTGCCGTAGAAAGACATCTAGCCAGCAGTATGGTAGGGATGCTGAGGAGAGTTCAGGGCCCTAGCACTAGAAACATATAACATAGCAGGTACTGTGAAGGGAAAAATCAGGACATACATGGCAGATGTGTAAGCCTCTTATACATTTTAGAGGATGGAGGAGGTTTCACAGTACAGGCCTATAGCCAAGCTCTCTGGCCCCCATGCAGGAGGCAAGGAAGGGGTAGGCAGGAGGATATGTAGCCACAATAACCCCCTTTAATGTAAACTCACTTCTCCAGGTGAGAGATTTTGGCATATGCAACTCTGTTACTCAAAGATTATATCTCCTGAGGATGCCTGCCTGTATCTACAAAAGGAGAAAGTCTATGCTAGGTATTGTGGCCTGAGCAGTAGCTGGATTCTAACAGTACATTCTTTTGATAACAATTTATTCTTTGGTCACTATGTACTTTTAAATTACAGAGTGAATTTATACTAATTCTTTTTTTAAGTTCATCTATTCATTTTACATTCATGCTGCAGTTTCCCTGTATCTTCCCCTCCCAATCCCTCTCCCTGCTTTTCACATTTCACCCCCAAACCCCTTCCTCTTCTCTCTCCATCCAGGATGAGTATCAACAAAACATGGCATTGTCAAGGTGCAGTAAGACTAAGCAGTCTCCATGTACTAAGGCTGGGCAAGGAGACACAGTATGAGGAGTAGGGTCCCAAAAGCCAGTAAAAGAGTCAGAGACAGCCCCTGCTCCCACTAGTCCCACAGGAACAACTGTGACATATATGCAGGTTACCTGGTTGTTGGTTCAGTCTCTGCAAGCCTCCATGAGCCCAGCTTAGTTGACTGTGTGGGTTTTCTTGTGGTATCCTTGACCCCTTTGGCTCCTATAGTCCTTTCTCCTCTTCCTCCTCTGCAGGATTTCCTAACTCCACCTAATGTTTGACTTTGGGTCTCTACATCTGCCTCCATCAGTCACTGGATGATGCCTCTCTGATGACAACTGGACCAGGCACCAATTTGTAGATGGGAGACAGCCTGAGACCTGGGTTTCCTCACAAGAACTGTAAGAAAATAGAAATAAGACCTATTAATCAGTAAGAAGTATAACAGTAACTGATTTTTAAATACAAAAGGCACAAGCAGGTATTTTGAGGAAGTAGGTAAGCATATGGCCACAAAAAGGTTTTAGAAACAAAAGTGTGCATGGTTAGAGAAATAAAAAAGACTCCTAGAAATACCATTTCCCCATAGATTTAAATAGCAGAATTAAGAAATCTAATGATACCACATAATAATGAGTTACACATAGAGGACGGAAATGTTCTGGCTTTTTAACTTATGTTCATTCTTCATTTTAATGATGTTATCCTAATATCAAAACACACACACACACACACACACACACACACACGTTTTAGAACATACACTGTTATGGGGAGCCCACCAGAAATGACCACTCAGATATAGCTTTAGCCAATTGAAAGTCTTTGTTCCAACTGGCTGGAATTACACTTAGGTATTCCAGACCCAAATGTAGCATTGAGTGTTTAGGGTAAGGGTTTTTGTAAAGACAGCAAGCATGTAAAGACAGCAAGCATGTAAAGACAGCAAGCACATACTGGTATCTTGCTCAGCAGCTGTAGGGTGGGAGTTGTGGTGGGGGTTGCTGCAAGCAATCAGTTGAACAGAAGCTAAGATAAGTAGTTAGCTGGAAGGGGTAGGTTTGCATAAGCAGACAATTTAACAAAAGCTAAGTTAACTGGGGTGTCCTGAACTCAGGTTCCTAGAATAGCATTGGATAATTTTCCATAGGATTCGCCATCAAGGAGATCAAATTCTGATCATCTCGAGCGGGTTTTCTATAATATGCTGAAGGCCTCAGTAAGATCCGCAGAGACTGGATTCTAACACTTAGGGGACTCCCAGGAGCAGGGAAAAGTGCACCAGTTGGAGAAGTCTTCTAGGGGTGCACAATCTGATATATCCCAGGGCCCTGGGAAAATCCGCCTCTGACTGATTGCTATTGTGTACTTTGGAGGCACACCAATGACACCACCAAAAAGGAAAAACAAAAGTATTGTCTGATCTGAACATGTCCAGAGGTAAGTTTAGTCTGTTGGAGGTGCCCAGATTATTTTGGCCCAGCCATGATGCCCAAAGAATCCAAACATGTGACTGTTCTCTCAACCCTGTTGGAGGAAATTGACCTTTCTTGCTGCTCCTGCTCCAGAATGCTCACTTCAGGTTCCTTTGGTGGCTTGACTACTTCTCGTGGTCCCAATGTCATGATCCTGTTCTCTGTGTGGAATTCCTATATGCTGCAAATATGTGTTGCTTTTATTTGTTGATGAATAAACCTGTTTTGTGCAGAATATAGCTAGGTGGGAAATCCAAACAGAGATGTAGAGAGAAAGAAGGCAGTATGGCAGATGGGAGTAGCTGCTGGAGAAACAAGATGTGAGGTAACAAGTCACAAGCCTCATGGTAAAATATAGACTAATAACAATGGATTAATTTAAGTTGTAACAGCTAGGTAATAATAAGCCTGAGCTAATAGTTCAAAAAGTTTGCTATTAATATTAAGAGTCTAAATGGTTATCTGGGAACTGGGAAAGAAATGTTCAGCTGCAGGGCCCCTGCCATCTAAGCAGGGTATATATATATGAGCTTCCCTAAGCTGCTACCTTAGCCCAGGGAAAGGGGAAATAATTCTTAGAGTTGCGCCAAGGGGAAAAGTCAAGTTGAATCCTTTCCTATTCATAGTTCATGTCGTCTTCTCCACCAGTGACTTATACTATTGGAAGACACAAAATCTATTTTCAGAGAAGCCATAGGCCCTTATTCGATTATTAGAAATTGTTTTAAGGTAAAAGTTTCTGATGCTAGGCCTGAGTACCTTACTTGGATCACAGGGACCCAAATTATGGATGGAAAGTACAGAATCCACTAAGTTGTCCTGTAACCTACACATAAGTGCTGTATGTATGCCCCACGCACAAATAAATGTAATTTTAAAAAAAGATTCTAATGGGCTGGTTAACGGCTCACATTTGCACACCGCAACTTGTCCCTTCCTGATTCGCTATACCTTGCCTTGTATCAACCCATGTTACCCAAGTTCCTCCCCTTGCATGCTTGCTTTACCCTGCCCCTTCCCACATTCCCACCCCTGGAATATGGAGCCCATCTCCTGCACATAAAACCCTGTCCCTTATACGAGCAGCCACCACCTATATACAAGCCGTGTCCCTCAAGGAACCGCCCCACCACCGGATGTCCCGCCCCCTTGGAGATTATTTCCGCACTTGCAAAAGAGCCTAGTAATCCAAACACACATGCGCACAGCATTCAGCCAATCAATTTGGCTCTTGGTTGAGACTTCTGTTTAAATTCAGTTGCCTCAGAGGTGCCAGCAGCATTGAAGCAGAGCCGTCAGCTGGAGCAGACCTGAGTGCAGACCAGAGTTGTGAATGTGGTAACTTGTTGGAACGGCAAACCCGGTTTAGTTTAGGAAGGAGGAAGGGATGAGTGTGAGGAGGGGGTGTGAGAAGGGATGAGTGTGAGGGGGGTGAAAAGGATGGGACGAGTGTGAGGAGGTGTGAAGAGGACAGGACGGGTGTGAGAAGAGATGAGTGTGACAAGGACGGGACGAGTGTGAGGAGGGGTTAGAAGGACGGGACGAGTGTGAGGAGGAGTGACAAGGACGGGACGAGTGTGAGGAGGAGTGACAAGGACGGGACGAGTGTGAGGAGGTGTAAGAAGAGATGAGTGTGACAAGGACGGGACGAGTGTGAGGAGGAGCAGTGTGAGGCGGGGGCAGTGCATCCCCTCGAGGGAGGGCGGGGTCTGGGCGCCATTTTACCTGTGAGGAAAATCGTCCATTGGCGCTTTCGGGGCCGGGGACCTCGTCCTAGAGGGCAGTGACGGGAAAATGGAGGAGGAGGCCGGGGACCTCGTGCTCAGTGGTGATGGGAAAATGGAGGAGGAGGAGGCCGGGGACCTCGTGCTCGGGGGTGACGGGAAAATGGAGGAGGAGGCCGGGGACCTCGTGCTCGGGGGTGACGGGAAAATGGAGGAGGAGGAGGCCATGGACCTCGTCCTAGAGGGCGGTGACGGGAAAATGGAGGAGGAGGCCGGGGACCTCGTCCTGGAGGGTTGTGACGGGAAAATGGAGGAGGAGGCCGGGGACCTCGTCCTGGAGGGTGGTGACGGGAAAATGGAGGAGGAGGCCGGGGACCTCGTGCTCGGGGGTGATGGGAAAATGGAGGAGGAGGAGGCCATGGACCTCGTCCTAGAGGGCGGTGACGGGAAAATGGAGGAGGAGGCCGGGGACCTCGTGCTGGAGGGTTGTGACGGGAAAATGGAGGAGGAGGCCGGGGACCTCGTCCTGGAGTGTGGTGACGGGAAAATGGAGGAGGAGGCCGGGGACCTCGTCCTGGAGTGTGGTGACAGGAAAATGGAGGAGGAGGCCTGGGACCTCGTCCTGGAGGGTTGTGACGGGAAAATGGAGGAGGAGGCTGGGGACCTCGTCCTGGAGTGTGGTGATGGGAAAACGGTCCTGGAGTGTGGTGACGGGAAAATGGAGGAGGAGGCCAGGGACCTCGTGCTCGGGGGTGACGGGAAAATGGAGGAGGAGGAGGCCGGGGACCTCGTGCTCGGGGGTGACGGGAAAATGGAGGAGGAGGAGTCCATGGACCTCGTCCTAGAGGGCGGTGACGGGAAAATGGAGGAGGAGGCTGGGGACCTCGTGCTGGAGGGTTGTGACGGGAAAATGGAGGAGGAGGCCGGGGACCTCGTCCTGGAGGGTGGTGACGGGAAAATGGAGGAGGAGGCCGGGGACCTCGTCCTGGAGGGTTGTGACGGGAAAATGGAGGAGGAGCCCGGGGACCTCGTTCTGGAGTGTGGAGTGTGGTGACGGGAAAATGGAGGAGGAGGCCGGGGACCTCGTCCTGGAGTGTGGTGACGGGAAAATGGAGGAGGAGGCCGGGGACCTCGTGCTCGGGGGTGATGGGAAAATGGAGGAGGAGGCCGGGGACCTCGTCCTGGAGGGTGGTGACGGGAAAATGGAGGAGGAGGCCGGGGACCTCGTGCTCGGGGGTGATGGGAAAATGGAGGAGGAGGAGGCCATGGACCTCGTCCTAGAGGGCGGTGACGGGAAAATGGAGGAGGAGGCCGGGGACCTCGTGCTGGAGGGTTGTGACGGGAAAATGGAGGAGGAGGCCGGGGACCTCGTCCTGGAGTGTGGTGACGGGAAAATGGAGGAGGAGGCCGGGGACCTCGTCCTGGAGTGTGGTGATGGGAAAATGGAGGAGGAGGCCGGGGACCTCGTGCTGGAGGGTTGTGACGGGAAAATGGAGGAGGAGGCCGGGGACCTCGTGCTGGAGGGTTGTGACGGGAAAATGGAGGAGGAGGCTGGGGACCTCGTCCTGGAGGGTGGTGACGGGAAAATGGAGGAGGAGGCCGGGGACCTCGTGCTCGGGGGTGATGGGAAAATGGAGGAGGTGGCCGGGGACCTCGTCCTGGAGGGTTGTGACGGGAAAATGGAGGAGGAGGCCGGGGACCTCGTCCTGGAGGGTGGTGATGGGAAAACGGTCCTGGAGTGTGGTGACGGGAAAATGGAGGAGGAGGTCGGGGACCTCGTGCTCGGGGGTGACAGGAAAATGGAGGAGGAGGCCGGGGACCTCGTCCTGGAGGGTTGTGACAGGAAAATGGAGGAGGAGGCCGGGGATCTCGTCCAGGAGGGTGGTGACAGGAAAATGGAGGAGGAGGCCGGGGACCTCGTCCTGGAGGGTGGTGACAGGAAAATGGAGGAGGAGGCCGGGGACCTCGTGCTCGGGGGTGACGGGAAAATGGAGGAGGAGGCCAGAGACCTCGTGCTCGGGGGTGACAGGAAAATGGAGGAGGAGGCCGGGGACCTCGTGCTCGGGGGTGACGGGAAAATGGAGGAGGCCGGGGACCTCGTGCTCGGGGGTGACAGGAAAATGGAGGAGGAGGCCGGGGACCTCGTCCTGGAGTGTGGTGACGGGAAAATGGAGGAGGAGGCCGGGGACCTCGTCCTGGAGGGTGGTGACAGGAAAATGGAGGAGGAGGCCGGGGACCTCGTGCTCGGGGGTGATGGGAAAATGGAGGAGGTGGCCGGGGACCTCGTCCTGGAGGGTTGTGACGGGAAAATGGAGGAGGAGGCCGGGGACCTCGTCCTGGAGGGTGGTGATGGGAAAACGGTCCTGGAGTGTGGTGACGGGAAAATGGAGGAGGAGGTCGGGGACCTCGTGCTCGGGGGTGACAGGAAAATGGAGGAGGAGGCCGGGGACCTCGTCCTGGAGGGTTGTGACGGGAAAATGGAGGAGGAGGCCGGGGATCTCGTCCAGGAGGGTGGTGACAGGAAAATGGAGGAGGAGGCCGGGGACCTCGTCCTGGAGGGTGGTGACAGGAAAATGGAGGAGGAGGCCGGGGACCTCATGCTCGGGGGTGACGGGAAAATGGAGGAGGAGGCCAGAGACCTCGTGCTCGGGGGTGACAGGAAAATGGAGGAGGAGGCCGGGGACCTCGTGCTCGGGGGTGACGGGAAAATGGAGGAGGCCGGGGACCTCGTGCTCGGGGGTGACAGGAAAATGGAGGAGGAGGCCGGGGACCTCGTCCTGGAGTGTGGTGACGGGAAAATGGAGGAGGAGGCCGGGGACCTCGTCCTGGAGGGTGGTGACAGGAAAATGGAGGAGGAGGCTGGGGACCTCATCCTGGAGTGTGGTGATGGGAAAACGGTCCTGGAGTGTGGTGACGGAAAAATGGAGGAGGAGGCTGGGGACCTCGTGCTGGAGGGTTGTGACGGGAAAATGGAGGAGGAGGCCGGGGACCTCGTCCTGGAGTGTGGAGTGTGGTGACGGGAAAATGGAGGAGGAGGCCGGGGACCTCGTCCTGGAGTGTGGTGACAGGAAAATGGAGGAGGAGGCCGGGGACCTCGTCCTGGAGGGTGGTGACGGGAAAATGGAGGAGGAGGCCGGGGACCTCGTCCTGGAGGGTGGTGACGGGAAAATGGAGGAGGAGGCCGGGGACCTCCTCCTGGAGTGTGGAGTGTGGTGACGGGAAAATGGAGGAGGAGGCCGGGGACCTCGTCCTGGAGTGTGGTGACGGGAAAATGGAGGAGGAGGCCGGGGACTTCGTGCTCGGGGGTGACGGGAAAATGGAGGAGGAGGCCGGGGACCTCGTGCTCGGGGGTGACAGGAAAATGGAGGAGGAGGCCGGGGACCTCGTCCTGGAGTGTGGTGACGGGAAAATGGAGGAGGAGGCCGGGGACCTCGTCCTGGAGGGTGGTGACAGGAAAATGGAGGAGGAGGCTGGGGACCTCGTGCTGGAGGGTTGTGACGGGAAAATGGAGGAGGAGGCCGGGGACCTCGTCCTGGAGGGTGGTGACGGGAAAATGGAGGAGGAGGCCGGGTACCTCGTCCTGGAGGGTTGTGACGGGAAAATGGAGGAGGAGCCCGGGGACCTCGTCCTGGAGTGTGGAGTGTGGTGACGGGAAAATGGAGGAGGAGGCCGGGGACCTCGTCCTGGAGTGTGGTGACAGGAAAATGGAGGAGGAGGCCGGGGACCTCGTGCTCGGGGGTGATGGGAAAATGGAGGAGGAGGAGGCCATGGACCTCGTCCTAGAGGGCGGTGACGGGAAAATGGAGGAGGAGGCCGGGGACCTCGTGCTCGGTGGTGACGGGAAAATGGAGGAGGAGGCCGGGGACCTTGTGCTCAGGGGTGACGGGAAAATGGAGGAGGAGGCCGGGGACCTCGTCCTGGAGTGTGGTGACAGGAAAATGGAGGAGGAGGTCGGGGACCTCGTGCTCGGGGGTGACAGGAAAATGGAGGAGGAGGCCGGGGACCTCGTCCTGGAGGGTTGTGACAGGAAAATGGAGGAGGAGGCTGGGGATCTCGTCCAGGAGGGTGGTGACGGGAAAATGGAGGAGGAGGCCGGGGACCTCGTCCTGGAGGGTGGTGACAGGAAAATGGAGGAGGAGGCCGGGGACCTCGTGCTCGGGGGTGACGGGAAAATGGAGGAGGAGGCCAGAGACCTCGTGCTCGGGGGTGACAGGAAAATGGAGGAGGAGGCCGGGGACCTCGTGCTCGGGGGTGACGGGAAAATGGAGGAGGAGGCCGGGGACCTCGTGCTCGGGGGTGACAGGAAAATGGAGGAGGAGGCCGGGGACCTCGTCCTGGAGGGCGGTGACGGGAAAATGGAGGAGGAGGCTGGGGACCTCGTGCTCGGGGGTGACGGGAAAATGGAGGAGGAGGAGGCCGGGGACCTCGTGCTCGGGGTGACAGGAAAATGGAGGCGGCCGCAGATACTGTACTTGAGGGTGACGGGAAAATGGAGGCAGCGGCCGCGGACCTCGTACTGCGGGGGGGGGGAGGTGACGGGAAAATGGAGGTGGTGAACCTTGCCAAGTAAGGGGCCTTGAAGAGGTTGAAGCCTAGGTTGAAGGAAGGAAAGCTTAGATGGCAACTTGGAGAGGGGGAGGCCGGGGGCAGGGGGTCTAGAAGCAAAGGGAAGCTAGAGTGTGGACAAAGACCTAGGGAAGGGCTGGAGGTCAGTTGGCATTCCCTCGGGGATAAGGATGATGAGGAGCCAGCAGAGGAGATAGGAGGAAATTGAGGATGAGAAGAAAAGGCTGAGGAGCTAGGAAGGAATACAGGGTGAGGAGGATTTGGGGAGAGGACAGGAGAAGCTGGATGTCCAAACTGGGGAGGGGCAGGGGTAAGGAGGACCTGAGGAAGGGCTAGGGAGTAGGAAAAGGAGCTGGGGCAATGAAGGGCTAAGAGAACTGGGTAGAAAGTAATGAGGAAGACCTGGGGAGGGGTGAGGAGCAAGGAGGAAATAGGGGAGGAGTTGGGGCTTAATGGAGGTGATGAGCAAGAATAGAAGCTGCGGAGGGGAGGCTTCAGACTTGGGGAGTGGATGTAGTGTGTAGGGGCTGGGAGGAACAAGGAATAAAGAGTGGATAATGAGTTGGGAAGAGAAGGGACTGGGGCATGTTGAAGCTGTAGGCGTGAGGAGGAGCTGGGGAGCGGTTAGGGCTTAGGAAGACCTGGGAAGGGGTGAGAAGCAAGGAGGAAATATAGGGTGAGGTATGGAGGACCTGAGAAAGGGCTAGGATTTAGGAGCTAGAGCAGGGTTGGGATGAGGAAGCTGAGGGACTAAGGAAGCCATGGGAAGGAGGCCAAACTTCGGAGATACTAGGAGAAAGTTAGGGGCGAATGAGAGCTGGGGATTAGAAACTGAGGGCAGGTTAGGGGTGATGAGGACCTAGGAATGAGGATGATCTGGGGAAAGGTGAGGAGCAAGGAGGACATGGGTGCTGAGGGTTTAGGGAGGGGTATGGTGAGGCAGGGGATAGGCTGAGGATAAGTTGAAGTTTAGAGCTAGATGTGATGAGTAGTAACTGAGGAGGGACTAGAAGCAAAGAAACAGCTATTGGTGAGGATGAGTTGGGTGGTTAGGAGGAGATGGAGAGAAGTTATGGATAAGGAGGAGCTGGGGGAAGGCTAGGAGCAAGGATAAGCTATGTGAGTGCACTCTTGGGAGGGACTGTAGGTGAGAAGATGCTGAGGGGGTATGGGGAACAGGAAGGAAATGGAATGAGGAGACACTTGGGGAGTTGAAGCAGGGGGGTTGTGCTGTGGAGACACTGGGGATTAAAAGGTGCCAAGGAGTGCTTTTCAGGGAGGAGGACCTGAATGGGGCGCAAGGGTGACGAGGAGCTTTGGAGGAACTGGGGAGGGTTGGGGTGAGATGAGGAGGAACTGGGAAGCAGATAGAAGCAAAGAAGAAGTTGGGGTGAAGAAGAGCCAGGGAGAGGTTACTGGGAGGACTTAGGAGTGCGGAAGAAATGGGGGGAGTGTATGAGGTGAGGTGGAACTGGGGAGAGTATAGGTGTAAGGAAGACTTAGAGGGTTAGGAGGAACTTGTAGGTTAGGAGAGCTGGAAAGATGCTAGCAGGGATGGAGTTGCTGGAGAGGGGCTGGGGCAAGAAGGGCAATAACAGGCTAGACTGAGTATCGAATGTGAGTCCTTAGAAGTATTGAAAAGAAACTGAGGGACCGAAAGGCATGTAGGCAAGGAGTTCAGCGACAGGAAGAAGCTAGGGGTAAGTAGGGAGTGGGGCCCCAGTGCTACTGGGGTTAAGAGTTAGAGGACTAGGACTGGCAAGGGGCCCAGGGAAGCCGAGGTTCTGGGGGCCCTGGTAGAGCTGGGGAGCTGGCACGGTGAGGAAGAGATGTGGTCCTCAGTAGGGTCTGAAAGGCCAGGAATGGCCTGGGGGATACTTCTGTACTTCTGGGGTCAGGCCCAAATCCATTAGAAACAACCCAAGGACCCTTCTTCATTTTCCTCCACTATTGTATAAGTTTGCTCAGGACTATGGATGTTAGCAGCAAGGAGAGCAGGTGGGGACCAAAATGGGGGGAGATAGGGAAAGACAGAAGGAACTAGAAGGGGATCGAGTATAGGGAGTAAATGGGGAGGGCATGGCCTAGAACAAGAAAGAGTGGGAGAAACAGAGCTATTATTATATAATCAAGGTGGATTAAAACTGGTGATTCTCTGACTTAAACTTCCTGAATTCTGGGATCACAGGCATGCACCTCCACATTGAGCATTTTCAGTGTTTTGTTTTTGTAAGATAGGATCTTACTTGTAGCCTAAGATGGCTTAAAATGGTTTGACCTTAAACTTGTAATCTTCTGTCTTTGCAATCTTCAAGTACCAAGACTTCCCCCTCAACCCCAAGAGGTGGGGTTGTGCTGTGGATGGAACCTAGGGCTTCTTAAATGCCAGGCATGAACTGCACCTGGGAGCTGCATCCCCAGCGTTGTACAATTTTAGCTTTTAAGATTTATTTTGCTAGGGGGAGATTTTTGGCATGTTTGTGATCTATTTTGTCAGCAGATTTTACTTTGGAAATGACTTACAAACATGCATATTTGTTCAAATTTATCAAGAATTTACAAAAATGAGACCAAAATTCAGCTCATCAAGTGGATAGGTGCAAACCACCCTTCTTTTTTTACAGTGACGATTGCCTTTTTTTTTTTTACTTTGGATCTAATAAAGAAAACTCTTAATACTTTATTCAAATAATATCTCAATTTTCTATGATAATTTTCTCAGTTTATTTAATAATGCCTTTGGGATCAGGTGGTGTGAGAGATTTGAATTTTTCCTTGTGCTTTAAAACAGAAAATACAGAGCTATGTTTCCCCATGCAAGACGGGATTCTGAAGAGCCTGAGAGCACACCAATGGAGGAAGAAGCCCTAGTGTATAACTTTGAGGATGAGGAGCCAGAGCTCATTGCTTCACAGAGGAGCTATACTCAAGGTATAAGATGTCAAATGTTGGCGCCTGGCAAGCCAGCTCAGGGGGTCAAAGTGTTTGCTGTACAAGCCAGAGAACCTGAGTTTGATCCCCGAACCCACACAGTAGAAGGAAAAAAAATCTACTCCAGAAAGCTGTCCTCTGACCTCCACATTGATGTGTGTGTATGCTAATAATTGCAATGTAAAAAAAATGTAAAGATAACAAATGTTGACCATTGATAATGTCCCTCAGTTCTTTTGTTTTGAACCTAATACACTTAAAATTTGTTGAGTTAGTCTGTGTACTTTACTACCATCTGGTCTCCATATCCTCATATCTAAGTTCTAGAAATCCATGTAGTGTGTCATGGCTTGGAAGTCCTAACATGTTGATCAATAAATAACACATAACTTGCTATGTAATCTTATCCTAGAAAGTCTTCAAAATGTGTTCCTATAGTCATGAATCATGGCTTAACTTCATTTAACCTTCAAAGAAAATTTTGTATTTATATATCTCATACCAAAGCTTAAGTTGTCAAAATGTCTGAAAGAACATCAAATATACTCTCTCATTGCAATTTGTTAAAATAGTATGCTTAATTTCAAAAATATTTTTCTTTTTTTCTTGTCAACAGAACTGAGTTCAGCAAGTGATTCACATGGGAAGAAAAGTCCTATAGAACTGTTTGTAGATGTGGGGTAATATATTAAAAATAATTTTTTGTTGAATAATGTACTTCAAGAATTGTTTGCTTTGTTTATATAATATATAAAATACTTGACATTTGTTACCTCTTCTAAACTATTATATCTTATGAACTCTTAGTTAAACAGTGTTTGTCATTGTTTGATATTCAACAGGGGGTTTTGTGAATGCCTGGGAAATGCTGTATTACTAACTACAGTGCCAGCTTTAATATTTTTTAAAATATGATTTCTTCATAGGGAAAAGGTAGAGTGTATTCTTGGAAAACTTGGAGGTATGTTTTTGGAGATATTTATAAAAATTTTATAAAATTATTTAAAACCATGTAATAACTTACATATGTGTTAACCAGTATATTATATGCCTGGTTTTTAATACTTTGTTCTCATTTATAATATTTTTCATAAATATTTGTGATTTAGCATCATAGATAGTCTTCCTTACAGTTTTCCATGATGAGATAAGTAAAAATGACACTTTCAGAAATATGTGACTCCCATGGAATTTCAGAAGAAGAAAATAGGAAAGTTTTTATACTTCTTTGAACAGACTAAGTGATGCACTATTTCTATATAACAGTTTCTTCTTTTACTCTGTATATCAGTTTTTAAAATTCAGTTTATTTCCTAGAATTTATACTGTATCCCTTTCTTTAGGGTAGGCATTTTTAAATTGAAGCTTCTAATATAACTCTTTGCCACTGTTTACATTCTAATAAATTATAATCTAAGTTGAAAATTGGATAGCCAATAGAGATTTAAAATCGGAACACAAAAATCTTGCTTTAAGAACTATGTTAAGGATCAGTTACATGAGCTTGATTGGGGGAGAATATTCACTTTTGTTTGTTTACTTGTTTGTTTTGAGAAAGTCTCACATGTAACACAGGCTGGCATTAACACTGTGTAGCATCTGACTTAACCTCACAGGTGCTGGGATTACAGGGATAGGCAAACCCAACCAAGGAAGAAGATAGTACTCTTTTAAAAGAGTTAATAAGTGGTGGATAAATGGCTCAGTGGTTAAGATCACTGGCTGATCTTCCAAACGAATCCAGTTTGATATCCAGCACCCCCATGATGACTCAAACCATCTGTAACTCCAGTCCAAGGTGATCCCGTGCTGACTTTTGGACTCAGTGGGAACCAGGCTAGACCTAGATGAAAGCAAAACCCCCCTCCCATATACATATACACTTTCAAAAACAGTTAACATTAGACTCCTTTAAGAATTACTCTCATAATCAATTTTTTGAAAGATGTGCTTTATTTAGTGGTGTCAAGATAAAATGTTTTATAATCTGTTGTTTTATATATGTATTATGGCTGTTGAAATACCTCTTTCATATATTTATTAAATGAAACAATTTTATATAGCTGCTGAAATTATAAATTATATGAACTGCTTACTGTACATAGTGGTAAAATGTCCTAATAAAGACTTACTGAAATGTAAATAGCCACCAAAGCATACTGAAGAAGATATGCCAGGTAAGTGTTTACCAACTCAACTACATCCCCAGCTTCTCATTCACTATCCCTTTTACAAATAATTTCAATAATTTAATTAACCTTTTTACATTATATTTTAATAAGCTATTTTATTTCATGCTTTCTAACAAGAATTCAGGAAAATGTACCCTTCCAGTGTAGAATGATTATAAAGTTAGGAATAGTTAGCCTTTTCTTAATTATTTTCTCATAAAGTCTATACTTCCCCTTTGTTTATTAGTTCATTTTTGTCATCTCTAACAACATCTTCAGTTAAGACTATACTAATTACCATATGGTTATTTAAAATGATAGGGACCAGAAATGTTTAAGATTTCAGAGTTTTGGATTTGGAATGTTTTCATAGAATTTGCTGATTTAGCAGACCTGGTCAGAAAATCCAAAATCCTAGGTGTTCAAACTATGAAAGTTGTATCATGTTGACACTATTTTTAAATGTTTTGTTATTGATAAGTGAACATTATTTGAATTAATAATTACTTGCATATTTGGGAATGAAGTAATTTTCTTTAACATTAAATTCTAATGAACATTAATTTTTAATATAGGTGAAATTAACCGTGCTCTTAATGCTAAGAGACTAAGAATGGAAACAAATACCAGAATGTCTTTTGAAGGAATTGACCAGAAAATGCAACAAGCTTGGAACTCACATGAAGATGCAGTGTAAGGATTTCTTTTTTAAAAAACCATGTTTGTACCAATTCTTAATATATATTGATGTAAATCACTTCAGAAAAAATGCAGTCTTCTGTTTGAGTCTAGTGAAAATATTTGACTTGAGTTTTCTCTAGGCAGGTACCTCTGTGACCTCCTACCTTTATAGAATTGCTTCATAGAACCCAGTGAAGATTATGTTTTTCTCCTTTAAGTAACAATTGAGGAGGTTTATTACTTTTTTTGTATTTTATATTTACTCTTGAAATTAGTTGAATAAAGTTTAATGAATAAAATGTAATAACAGTTAACCATGGCTAATGATGTAGAGAAATGTAAATTTGGATATGTTAAACATTTAGCACTTGCTTTGTACTAAATTGTGACTGTGCCAAAATGGAGAGTGGAGAACTTAGTGATATTTTTTGCTTATAAATAATTTAATATTTTTAAGACTCTATATTCTGTAGAAAAATAAACTATTTAGAGATATTATTTTGAAAATAGATATATATTATAAAACTTCCATAGTTTTCAAAAGACACTGTATGAGAGGGGACTATTATGTTGGGAAAAAGTACTTCTGGAATCACTATAAATCTAATTTTACTCCTGAGTTTTCCATCAAAATATTTAAACTGCTATTACTTCCTTTTTATATTATGATAGTGTCTCAACTGAACTTTGTCTTGCATGTTGTTTTCATACTAGTGTAAGAAGTAACATCATTCAGTAATATGTTTTACAGGGCAAAGCTTAATGAAGACTCTGCTCAGTCATTTATGACTCTGTTTGAGCAATGGAATTTGGATTTTAAGAAATTTCGAGAAAAACATGAAAAACTAATGGTTGGTATCACAATTATAATTAATCTATTATAAGTAAATCACAAGAATAGGGAACCTATTCTTGTGTTACTTGCTTGAACAACCCAGGCTTGTTTAGAGATTGAAATCTCCTAGAATAAATAACGTCTTGAAAATTATTTCTTACATTGTATGGCCTGTAATTTTAAGAAGATAAAGAAGGAGGTTCATAACATGTTAGTGGTACAAGAATAACTTAAACTTAGGCATAATGGATCCAGTGACTGATGGAAGCAGAGGCAGACACCCACAGCTAAACACTGAACTGAAATTCTTGAACCCATAGACAGAGAGGGAGGAGTAATGAGCAAAAGGGTCAATACTGGGCTGGTGAAACCCACAGAAACAGCTGATGTGAACAAGGAGGAGATCTTGAACCCCAGACTGATGGCTGAGAGGCCAACATAGGATTGATCCAGATCCTCTGAACGTGGGTGTCAGTGAGGAGGCTTAGGAAATCTATGGGGCTTTGGGTAGTAGATCAGTATTTATCCCTGGTATACAAATAGACTTTGGGTGCCCATCCCACAATGAGGGATGCTCTCTCAGCCTGGACTATTGGGGGAGGGGCTAGGCCCTGCCCTGAACGAAATGATAGACTCTGGAGATCTCCCATGAAGGGCCTCATCCTCCCTGGGGAATGGGAGTCTGAATTGGGTTGGAGGACTGGTGAGGGGAACTGGGAGGGGTGGGGGAGGAGGGGAGGGAGAGGGAGCTGGGATTGACATGTGACGCAAGCTTGTTTCTAATTTAAATAAAAAAATTTAAAAACTTAGGCATAATAGTTATGAAAGAAAAATATTAAAGGTAGTCATTTTGTTGTTTTGTTTTGTTTTGTTTTTCGAGACAGGGTTTCTCCTGGAACTAGCTCTTATAGACCAGGCTGGTCTCAAACTCACAGAGATCTACCTGCCTCTGCCTCCCAAGTGCTGGGACTAAAGGCATGCACCACCACTGCCTGGCTAAAGGCAGTCATTTTAAAATGTTTTTCTGAGTTTAAAATATAACTTTTTTATTTAAAGTTTTAGAGATTGATCTGTAGCTCAGGAAAGTGTTTGCCTTGCATGTATGAGACCCACAACAACAACCAACTTTTACCAGATTGTTAATACTCTTTTCCCTTTTGTATTTGCAGAATGATTTTCAACATGAAGAAAAGATTTTTCAACAATGTAGACTTATTCAGAACCAGAGACTGAGAACAATTAAACATGTACATGAACAGTTCTTAAAGGTATGTTATGCATGTTAACAATATGTTCTTAAAAATATGATGCACTTTTTCCCTTAAAAGAATAAGATCATTTCCATTTTGAATTGTTTCTAATTGATGTGGTAATTATATCTATAGAATTCTAATGGTTTTATGGTGGTTAATTGAGACAGAAGATGGTAAGTTGTGAATTTTTCATAGACATATACTTCACATGTATTAATAGCCATACATTTGCATATATAAGTTTAGTCACTGTTCTTTATTTAACTGGAAAGAAAATCTCCATATTATTTCTATGGTCTTTGTAATCCTAGTATATATTAAATAGGAAAGGCTCAAAATAAATACTTTTTAAAGATGTTGGGCAAAGGATTCCCCGGAACTGGAGTTACAGAAAGTTGTGTGCTGCCTTTGTGGGTGCTAGGAATAAAATCCAGGTCCTCTGGGACAGCAGCCAGTGCTATTACCTACTGAGTCATCTCTCCAACCTCAGGAAGGACCCAAATTAAACTAAACCTTGTTTTGAAATTTAGTAGGGAAGTATTTCCTAGCATGTCAACTTTTAGAATTTTTCCAATGGTTAAAATAACTATCAATTTATAGCTATATTAGCCCAGGATTTAACAGTTAAATCTTAAAATTTATTCCTTGAGAATTAAGTACATGCTAGTAAGTTGATGTATAAACAATAGTTTTAAAATAAATATTTTAAAGAACCTTAAAATAATTTCTACACAAAAGTTTTTTATGTGTTTCCAATTGCAGATATTGCCAGTTTGCTCTAATATTCCCTGAAAAGTTTGTTTTTTGGTACCAATAAAGGCATCTTCCATATAATATCACCAAACATTATTGTTAGTGAGGAAGTTTAGTATAATTTTTAATTTCTCTATAGCCTGTGTTTTCACATTCAGTTACTTCTATAGTTTTACCATTTTTATTTCCACAGTGCTTCATTATTTAACTCCTGTTGCTGAGATCCTAGCTTATACTGTTTAACATTCTCATCAACCTTTGCTTCCACTATTTCCTCTGTCTCTCTGTTCTTCAGTCCATCCTTCATAGGTCTCGCCATGTATTTTTAAAAGTCTTCCTTCCTATTAATCTATCACTTTCAGTTCTGTATTCTGAGGAACTCTCATGACATGAATCTCTTTTGAAGTTACCTTTATTCTAATTGCTCATTAATGTACCTCTCTACATAATTGTTTTCTCTGAACCTGCTGTCTGGTCATACTCTTCCTCATAAAATATTTTTAATTCCTTTTCATTTATTGAAATTAGTTCCTTTGTAAAGTAAACTAACCATTTTCCACTTTCTACTTTATATGTGCAGAAAGCCACATTTTCATTCCCAATATAAAGTTTTTGTGTTATTTTGGTTTAGATGTTTATATTTTTCTGAAAATAAAGAGTGATTGTGTATTATCCTCTTTTGTTTTCTCCATAGTACTTAACATTGTACTTGTCGATTGGTTGGTGATAGGTAACTTATGGGAAAATGATTAAGAAAGGTTTAAACTGTCATTTTAAATGGAGATCACATTCATACAATATTAGTGCTAAAGATAGATGGGTGGACAGTTGGAGGGTAGCCTGGTCAATAAAGTGATATACTGTCTTATAAAACAAAAATTTGTATTTTGCTATTAATGACTTGAAAATGATCTCATACTATAGATTATTTTTCCCTTTGGTAAATTCATTGTCACATTGACTTTTTGTCTTTAAGTAGAATCTATATTGCATATGCTAGATTTTGGGCTCTCAGTTCTCCCAGTGATGCTTGCAAAGTTTATGATACTGTGCCCAAATCTCCCGTGTACCAGTCTCATCTTGACCTTAACATTCACTAAAGCTATTTCTTGAGCAAAGTGTACTATTTTATCTTCTATAATTGTATTTGATTGATGTCTAAGTTATTTTGTGTCTTAACAGTAGGAATTTGGGTATTAGAATGTGTTTTACTTGAAATAATGTATATTACTTAAATATTTAAAATTATTTTGAAATTTTATTTTAAAATTTAGAACTTGAGATGAAAAATAATGTCATAGGATTAAACTAGCTTTTTGTGTTTAGAATCTGGAAGACTTGGAGAAGAAGAATGATATGCTGTTTCTTAGTACCAGGAATGAACTTAAAGAAGAAATGAATAAGCTGCGAAGAAAAATTATGAAAGAATCTGTAAGTTGTGTTTCAAATTGGAAAGGTGAATTAATTAAAGCACTGAAATATTTTATTTCATGATGTATGAATGACACAGAACTAAGAAACTTGTTTGCTATCTCTTTTCCTTAAATAGCAACAGCAAGAGATGGTTAATGTTCGACAGTCTCTTCAGTCCATGCTGTTTTGATGGGAAGAATATTTGGAGAAGGAACTTAAACCTAAGTGATACATTCAAATGTCAGCTTTCAGATAAATTCTAGTTTAAATGGCAAGGTCTTTAGTCATTAACCTGTTCACCTTGTCCTACTTTATTTTGAATAAAATCCAGTTATGTTGAGTATCAACTATTACTGTATGTCAAGGTTTTGACTCTTTTGTTATAATACAGTGAATTTTTCTTTGTGACATTGTTAATTGTTTCAATAAAATTATTTGTTTGGATATTCACTCTAATATTCATTACATCAGTCCCAAAAGCACACAGGTCAGGTACAGAAAGTTACATTGGTTTTATTTCATATCTTTTTCTGACAGGGTCTTACAATGTTTGCCATGATGGCGTCTAACACTGAACTAAAAAATGAACTCAGATATAAGCTCAGGTAGTCCTTGCATCTCAGCCTCTAAAGTACCCGAGACAACACGTAGGCACCATTATGCCTAGTTTACACTGTTATTTAAGGAAAAATCCCTCCAATCCATTTTCCATACTGAACTGAAGTGCATAGCTCATTCTAAGAAAATGTGTTAAAGAGCTTGCGTTCATATCTTGGAATTAAACAGTTAAGACAGTAATCAAGCTGACAATTTATAATACGTTTTGATTTTGTTTTTGTTTGTTGAGACATGGTCTTGCTATGCAGCCTTGCCTGGCCTGCTTCCCAAGTGCTGGGATTAAAGGCGTGTACCACCATGACCTGCCTACGTACTAGTTTTAAGATATTCAAGAATTTCATTTCTATGGGGCATCAAATGCTATTGGGATTGCTCTGCAATTAAATGCAGTTACTGTCCTTAGTAATGATTAGGAGTATGTATCATCAGGACAGGACATGGTGGTGCACGCCTTTACTCCCAGCACTCAAGAGGCATGCAGATTTCTGAGGTTAAGGCCAGCTTGATCTACCTAAGCAATTTTCAGGCTAGCCAGGACTACAGAATGAAACCCTGTCTCAAAAAAACAAAAATGTATCATGAGTATAGCTACTTCTCATTGTCTAAGGATGTTATACTTGCCTTCTAGATAAATTTCCTAGAATAGCAATTTAAAGTCTTGAATATTAATGTTAACAAATATTTGAAAGTTTTGTTTCTAGATTTGTTATCAAACATAGTTTTTGTGTGATTTTTAATATATATTTTTATTTAAATTAGAAACATGCATGCTTCACATGTCAATCCAAGCTCCCTCTCCCACCCCTCCTCCCATGTCACTCCACCAGCCCCGGGAAACCCCGACCCAATCCTCACACCATTCCCAAGGGAGGGTGAGGCCCTCCATGGGGGGGGGATCTCCAGAGTCTGAACAGAACAGAAATGGACATGAATGAGAGTGGGGCCCCACTTTATATGTCCAGGTGCTTTTTATTACAAAAGAGAAAGTAAAGGTTGTCAGAAGGGGTGGACCATTTGTTGGCTGTTTAGGTGATTAATGTTCTTTGCTGGAAGGGTTTTGTACAATCCTTAGGGCAGTCAAAGGGATGCTATTTTTTTCACTTACTGTAACCTCCTTATGACTCATAGTCATGTGTGTCTGACCCTATATTCCTGCCCCATTTTTCACAGCTACATTTCCATCATGAAATAAGAATTTTAAATACCTATCAAATTTCCAAGGAGGTCTTTATTTCACAAGTTTTACCAACAGTTACAGATGTGAAATAAGTACTTCAGAGTGTTTCTGTATATTTAATTTACATTACTGTTTTTCCTTGTAAGATATATTATATTTCTTCACTATGCCGCTTCTCTGCATATATATTGTTACTCTCCTAATTTATCAGCTGACTATGGCATATGGTTCATGTCTTGAAAATATTCTTTCTTTCTTTACTAAATCTACCTTTCGCTTTTTTTCCTCTCTGTTTTCTTAAAAACCAAATTTTAAAAAATGCTGGTTGCTATGTCCCTACCACACTCCTCCTGTGACAAATACATTTGTCATGATAATTGTTCATAAGCCAGACAAATCTTTTGAATACATTCTGCAAAATTTTGGATTATTCCAGTGTCTGAAGATGGAGGAAGACCCAACTCAAAGCCTCAGTTATCATTTTGGGGCATTACCACCAGGTACGTAATAAAGTTTTTCCCAGATGAACTCCAGAAAGTTGTGCTGAGTGATGGTGACATTCCTGTATGGAATAAGTATGTCGGAGACACTAAGTAAGCTTTTGTCTGTGAGTGTCTGTTGAATAGTTTGCTCTAGTCCAAGAATGGAGTCAGGTTAATGATAATGGCACAATGTAAACGGCCAGTTGTTATCTGCGTAGCCAAACATTCAGTCTGAAATCTCCAAACTGTCCAAAATAGCAATTTAGAGAGTAGCTAAATAAAGGAACACATATGTAGTGCTCTATACTGGTTCAGGGTATAGGTGAAAGTACCTAGGTAGCTCATTCATTAATAATTGGGACACACAAATTTCCAGCATGTACAGAAGAACAAAACTCATTCCACCAGAGGAGTATAATATGCCTATTTTCTATATAACATTTTAAAACAAAAAACAAAAAAATCCACATATTCACTTTCTGGCTTCCCTCTGCATGTTGCTCAAGGGACAAACAAGGCTACTAGCAGCACATAATACATTCCTGACCATGGAAAGCAAAGGATTTAACCTAATATGAAGTGTTGTTTATTTGCTATAAATAAAAGTCAGTTTGGCAATGTCTGAATAGATCAGGCACCTTCCTAAAGTGAGTCCATACCAGGATGTTTCCAGTTAAAACATATTTAACATATATTTTGACTTATTAATTCAAACTATTGCATTAAACCAGGCCCTGAACTACCCATAGAAGTAATGCTAAAGAAGAAATTCAAAGGCTTCTTTCCTGTGATACTCGTACTGGGGTCATTATGATTGCCCTCCAGAAATACTGGGATTGAATGCTCTGCACTGCAACCACATTGACAACATCATCTGCTTGAGGCACATATCCAGAAGGAAGTTTAAGAGAATCCAAGGTGAAAAAAATGGTGTCTCCCAACACTCCAGTTCTTCCATCTGCTCTAGTAACACAAACCTGTGATGAAAAACGGCAGCAATGAGTGTAGAACATCATAATCCACGGACATAGACCCTTTTCTCTCTGACTCTAACCAGCAGATCCCTTCATCCCAACAGAGATTCCCACCCTACTTTATACAATAGCAACATGTAGGTGCTGCACAAGCACACACCCCTGTCCTGATACAACCTCACACCAATGAAAGCAGTCCCTGAGGACTCTGCAGAGAAAATGTTGTTCTAAATATTACCCACAATGACTGCTAACTTCCAGTTAAGGGTGACTACTTGAAAAAAAAGGAGTGAGAAAGGAATGTGTTATGTGGACTCTCATTATTCCCCTACTTCACCGGCTGCATTAGAAGCACATTCCTTCATTTTTCCTATGGGGCAAAATGGGTGCAAGCCAACTTGTTTTCAGTTTTTACTACCCATATCATACCCATATACTACTGAGGAGTTTAAATGACACTCCACTCATTTTTCTTAACAATTCCAAGAAACCTGATCATTGTTTCTTGGTTTGTTGCTCTTATCACATTTTGATGCCTCCCAGATTATATAAAGTTAAATTTTCATCATATTCCCATTTCGACATTATTCTCATCATTTCCTTTCAGGATTATAGGATTTTTTAATAAGAAAACAAGCTCATTTTGGCAAAGCTTTTATTTTAGATTTCCTAATCCTGAGCAGCAAAAATGGTCACTAAATGCAAGATAAGAAGACACAAGGAACAAGGACAGCACATGAACTACCTCATTTACATGATGATGTTTCAGAGGCTTCATCAAGATGGCCTTTCTGCTCTGTGTGTCTTGCTGCTCAGAAAACTCAATTTCTACCAGGTCACCCTTATAAGGTTCAAAATCTGTAACAGTTGTGGGAGAACATCAAGTTAGAGGGGCATTTTATTTGGGGGGAATATGACATTTCACCATTTACTGTGATGTTATCCCTGACACAGTTTCCATTACATATAAAGTACATTTTTAACATTTAAAACCCCAGGGCTGGAGAGATGGTCCAGAGATTTTACTGCTGTTGCAAGGGACTTGGGTTCACCTCCCAGTACCCACAGCTACCCATGGCTTATCTGTACATTCTTCTGGGCTCTCTGCAGGTGCCCCCACACACGTAGTGTACACAAACACACACATACACATAAATATAAGTAGGCATGATTTGTGTTTTTTACAAAGGTAAGGGCTGCAGAGATAGTTCTACAGTTAAAGGTACTTGCTTTTTTTTCTGAAGAAAGGGTTTCTCTTTGTAGCCTTGGCTGTCCTGGAACTTGTTCTGTAGACCAGGGGGACTTCAAATGCACAGGGATCTGCCTGCCTCTGCCTCCCAATTGATGGGATTAAAAGCACAGGCCACCCCCACCCAGCTGCACTTGCTGTTCTTGCAGAGTTCAGTGTTCAGCAACCGCATGGAGTCTACAGTTGCCTGCAAGTAACTCCAGGTCCAGGGCCTCTGCAGGCACCAGGCATTCAAGCAGTGGCATATACATACATGCAGGCAAAACACCCACACACATAACATTTAAAAGATAAAAGAAAAAAAGAGTACTAAAAGTTGAGGCAGTGAAATATATGCCTAATAAACAGGAAGGAAATAGCATTCATTACTCAATATAGGGCAAAACAACATGATTTTTCTTCTTTTCCTTCTTTTAGTGTCTCATTGAAGAAACTACTGAGGGTGTAGCCTACTTAGCATGTGGTTTATTTCTAGAAATACAATAATAAAAATATTAATAAACTGCCATTTTCACTGAATTTCATGAGATTCACTTAACAGGATTTATTCTGACTATTTTATTTGTGACTGGCTGGGGCCTTTAGGACTTATTTCCAATGCTAGGGATCATCAATACTTCTTTTTCAGCCACTGTCTTTTTCACCCTAGAAAAGTCTGCTACTATGACTAACTATTTCACAGAGGTAAAGCTCTCCACCTATGCCTTGGGCCCTATTCTCTATTTATAGCTCAGGGACTGCACTCCGTCATTTCTCCCTGCTCTCCTCAACACCTTTAGTCATATCCTTTGCACTACAAACATGTCCAAGTTCTTTCCACTCTGAGATGAGTATTTCTAGAACCCTTCCTGTTGTTGGTGACTTCCTGTTCAGCAAGGTGACAGGCTAATAATTTGTCTTTGGAACTTAGCAATCACAGGGATCCTTTCCACGGAAAACTTTGAATTTCTGAAGAAAAGTGTCATAAAATCTTAAACACCACCAAGCAGTCATTGTGGGAGGGTTCCTGAGATAACAGCCAAGATCAAGTTCAGGTTCTTACATCCAGAAAAGTAAAATAAAAAGCAGCTTTGTATACTGGGACAACATCACTCTTTTTATCAAAGTTAAATGGCACCTGATTAAGCTTCAGTGCATATGATTTATTTTTCCTTTCATTTCTCTTTCAAAGTCCAGGCTGGTACCTGGAAAGCTGATGCAGGAAGATGGCATGAGTTTAGCAGTTTGATAAAGAACTAGGAAATATAAAAAGTCCCTGTCTCAAAGTGGGGGACTGTCCTATAATAATAAAGGTATCAAGTTTACATTTCATTATGCATTAAACTGATATTTTTCTTTTTGTCTTGGTCCTCCAACTTAATCATTAAAAGCATAGACACTAAATGGCAGGGTATAAAGTCCAGCGTGAACAGTGCATAGCCCAGTCAGCTTTCTGTGATTTTTGCCATCACTGCCATTCTTCCTGCTTTGCCCACTGATTCTTTGCATCAGACTATTTTAATAGAGTCACACATCTATCTCTCGCAATGATACTATGAGGTCTTTATAGAAAGGTTTAATAAAGCCTTCCATATTTTGTTTCTGGCCTCAATATCTAAAACTCTTTAGCCAAATTAAGGTCCAATAGTCTTTTTAATTAACATGTCATTGCTTTAGGTATAAAACAATAAAATGTTATAGCAGATAAATACAAATAAACTTCAGCACTGGATACACACACACACATTTGAAGTATTATGAAATATTATCTTTCCATTTATGTAATAGTGTTAGAACAGAAACTTAATACCTCCATAAATAAAAAAGCTGCTCAAATACTAGTGTACCCAAACAAATGAAAATGTAACGATTTATAGTATGAGATTTTTAAATGTCCTTTGCTGTGCCTTATTTTCAAACTCCAACGGTCCACTTCAAATATTGAAGTGCCACTGATAAAAGTATAGGGGTAGAGACCCTGCCTAACAAGCATGGGGCTCTGAGTTCAATCCGTCCAAAGATTCAAGTATGCTACAGATAAATACAAATAAACTTCAGCACTGGATACACACACACACATTTGAAGTATTATGAAATATTATCTTAGATGTAAAACAAAAATCCTCTCATCAAATTAGCATGTTCCAAATTTGACCCCAAAGATGATTCCTAAGTCCAATTTATAATACTCCAAATGGAAAAACATAATTTTAAATTTAAAAATGTGAATTGGATGGTGGTAGTGCACGTCTTTAATCCCAGCACTCGGGAGGCAGAAGCAGGCAGATCTCTGTGAGTTCATGCCCAGTCTGGTCTACAGAGCAAATTCCAGGACAGCCAGGGCTACACAGAGAAATCCTGTCTTGAAAAATCCAAAAAATGAGTAAATAAATAAAAGTATGAAGTGTACCTTTACAGACAATGTCTAGAGAGAAGGACAATTTGTGGTTAATATGGTCAGCATCATCAATTAGAGAGGTGAGCCAGTCAAGTGAAACTATCATGTGAGAGTCTGTTGGTTCATCGCCATGGCCATCATGGTGTGCATCCATCTGGAAGATAAGTAAATAAACAAACAAAATAAAAATTGCTACTTCAAACAAACTAAAGGTTAAAAAGTCTAATTTCTACCGTCCAATCTGTTCAACAGTTCAAATAATGATCATAGATAGACAACCGACACAAAAGTTGTTATATGATGATGAAATAATGCTTGAGGTTCGTATCACTTTTATTGTAGTTTTAGAGAGATTAGAACTGAGAAGAAAATATAGAGTTGCCACACACTCCTACTAGTCAATCTTTAGTTTCTCCTATCATTAGCATCTTGCACTGGTATCCCACATTGACTACAATTGATAAGCCAGCATAAATACAGAAAAAGGAGTGGGGAATAAATGCTAACATTCCATACTAGAGCATCTAGAGAGACAAAAGAATGTCAAGTTAAATTTGAGAAAGGAAATCTAATGGCCATATGCCTCCTTAAATATTATCAGTCTCATTTGATCTTGGAAGCTAAGCATGTCTACGGCCATACCACCCTGAACGTGCCCGATCTCGTCTGATCTTGGAAGCTAAGCATGGTCAAGCCGAGTTTACCATGACAGGGAAGGAAACAACTAAGACTGTGTGGTCTAAAAATCACAGTTAAGTTAGAACTGTATGTAAAGTAAAAAAAAGGGGGGTGGCATTTAATTTTATTTCTTGAGATTATAATAGTAATTATAATGTTCTCATTACAAAAATAATGCGTAAGACCTGGTTGCCATACCTGCCACATGATTCCTCTCCTTCCTTTTTGAGAGTCATCCATGAGTGCTTTGCTTTGCTTTGCTCTGTTTATTAAATCTGGTCTTACTTTTTTAATGTAAAGAAGAATGGAAAAATAAGAAAATCACACATAGTTCAGAAATCTGTTTCCTACGCAAGAACCACTGGCCATGTTTTCATGAAGTGACCAAGATAATATCATCTTACTCTGACTCCATTTTGTGTCTGCTCAGGCAATTTTCTGTCCCTAATTCCCTGAATAGTCACAATAGCCCTGGCCACACATTAGGGACTTTCCATGACCTTCACAGTAGCCTGGATATATAACTAAAATGCCTACTGAATGAATGCATAACAAAAACTGACTTATACCTGACAATGATGTCATTGTGGGGTTTTACTTTTATAAACCCTGTACCCCTGAGCTTTGGTGCCAAGAGTTCTTGGCTTGTTTTTCATTGTCAGATACTAAAGGACTCCCACTTGGCTTATACATGTGTAGTAATCTCTAATTTTCTTCCGTGGATTATAACACTCACACCTATTTTAAAGGAAAATTTAATACTGCACATGTGTAATAAGTATATAAGCAAATGAGCACAAATACGTCAGTTTGTTTTAACTTTTTAAAAAAATAACATGCAAAGGAAATACTATAATTTAGTGTCTCCATTCCACACAGTTGGATATACAATTTATAATCTAATATGCACTACCTCTTTGCCTAATATATACATATAGGATCATGACTCAGGAGCAGAAGTTCATGCTCAAAAATTTCCAGTGAGAGCCCCCATAGCTACTGGCCTATGGTACCAGCATCTAGTGCCCCTGGGCTTTATTGGTTCCTGATCCAGCTTAGGTCCTGCTCTTACATCTGCTGTGGCTCCTGAAGCCTGCAGTGTCCCTGGGTGCCTTGGTGGGGAGTGATACCCTGCTGAAGGTAAGAGGAAAGGGAACAATGCTGTTGGGAAGCCACCAAGGAGGATATGCTGAGGCTGTTACAGTGAGCCACACAGGGCCAACGACAGTCTGGGATCTCAGGGATGCCTGCGTAACCTGGGCCAGCAGACCAGACTTCGTTACCTTGAAAACATGGGTGCCTGGCTCTTCTTATCAGGTCCTCTGAATGAGGAAGAAGACACTATTGTCCAGACCAACCATTTGCCCTACTCCTCACTCATCTCCCTACCCCCTCTAACCTCCAGCCTCAGGCTTCACCCAGAGCTCAAGCTGTTGTCTCCATCCTGGGGCAACAGTTGATGCTGCAGATTGGTTAGAATGCACCCGCTGGACTTGTCCTGCCTCTTAATGAGCTCCCTGGGGGCATGGAATGAATGGAGAATTACTGAGGCTACTTGCATGAACTTGTACCTGAACTGCATTGGCCTGTGGGACATTTTGTGTTTGCCTCAGCAATTCTACACATATATGTTGTTTTTTTTGTAAATGACTTATTTTTAATTTCCTTATTTATTTTTTCTTTTTAATTTTTAGGAAATTTATTTATTCTTCTCTCATATAATACATCCTGGCCACATCCTTCCCTCCCTCCAGTCCTTCCACACCCAACCATCTTGTGCGTAGTCTTACTGTAAGGGACTCATATGTAGTTATTTCCTCTGAATTGAAAGCCCTGCAGAGTTTTAGGGATGTAGCTTTCAGAAACCATCACCAACACTGGGGTATATGTTTTGGCGACAGAGTTGACTTTGAGTCACCTGTTGTCCTATAACTAACTCCCTGTAAGACTTCAATAAGTTCACTATATAAGCAAGTTAGGCTTGGGTAGAATAATTCCTTTGGTCTGTCTTTGGGGTCCTGTCTGGAGTGAGTAGACTTTTGTTCCTATTTTCCTAGGAAAAGGCACGTAAGGGTTACTGAATTCAAGTTTCGATGTGACAGTCTTGTAATATGTGTGTGTTGTGGGGAAGCGGTGGGTGGGAGGTGTTCACGCCTGTGTGTGCAGAAGTCAGAGGCCCACACTGGAATCTTCTCCAATTGTTCTCCGCCTCATTTGTTAAGATAGGCTCTCTTACCAAACCAGAATGCCATGACTGGCTAGACTGGCTGGTCAGCAGGCTCCAGGAACTGTCCTGCGTCTGCTCTTCAGCACTGGGACTAAAGGTCATGCTGCTGCAGCCAGCTTTTAAGTGGGAGCTGGTGCAGGGCTTGGTGCTTGTCCAGCAGGCACCTCACGGAGTGAGTCATTTCCCAGCTTCGTCCTCTCATGGGAGCTGATGGCACCTTAGTAAGGTTTTAAACGTTTAGTGGCTTTTCTGGCCTCCAGATGTAGCTAGCTACAGGCACAACACAGGAGTAACTTAAATTGTGGTATTCCTGATTTATGGGGCCTTATTGATGAAATTTGATTTGGGGGGAAATAAATAAATTAAATTTGATTCATGTGAATTCATTTTCTTTTTTTTTCTTTTTTTTTTATGAGACAGGGTTTCTCTGTATTGTTTTGGAGGCTGTCGGTCCAGCCTGGCCTCGAACTCACAGAGATCCGCCTGCCTCTGCCTCCCGAGTGCTGGGATTAAAGGCTTGCGCCACCACCGCCCGGCCATGTGAATTCATTTTCATGTCTCCAATTTTGAAAACCCCAGTTTCTCCCTCTATGTAACATCCCTCCTAAGCCGTCAATAACACCCTCTTCATGTTTTTTTTATTCACCAGGTTTTATCCAGAATTGAAGCACCAGGCTCACATAGCTATGAGGATGATCCCGTGTACCCTCTGACCTCTCAGTGCCCTGTCTCCAAACTAACAGACAGTTATATGTGGAAGCCCGGCTGCCTTTTCACTTCTTAGATGGCTAAAAATGTCAAGGATTGACAATACTTCCACTCTTGCAACCCTGACAAATAGGGAGCCTCACACCCTGCTGCTGCTGGTGTCTGTTAGTACACTACCAGTAATAAGCTTAATTTGCACATACAGATTTAAGTGATAAGTATCCGATGTGTGGTGCTAGATAGATCCTGTAAATCTAAAAATGTTTGAAACTTGGAGAACTCCCTGGTAGGTAAATTATACTTCAATAAAGCTATGTTTTTTTTAAAAAAATGGTTAAAATATATGTCTTTTCACCTAGTAACTACTTACAAATAACACATATCCATTATTTGCATTGTAAGAGAAAGTTACAGGGTAATATTATTCTAATAATCATCATCAAAATCTGAGGAATAGATAATGCAATTTATATTTTTCTGAATAGATACTAGGACAAAAACAGAACAAATGTTCCATACAATCCTCTAAATCAGACCAGTTTCCATCTGCAACATGTTTGTTAAAGAGGGGTGAATAAACAGAAGCCAGTAATGAGAAAGTAGCCACAATACACAACTCTTACTGGGATTGCATTCGATCCGTGACTCATTTGATCTACTTCCATGACTGCAGGAACTTTTGGGTTAACTTTCAGAGGTTCATTGCCTGTCACAACATCAGCATTGAAGGGGATGTGCTCGTTGATGCTGCCATAGTCACAGCAGGACCCTGTCACAACTCCTTGCATATTTTGTGACATGGTATCATCTAAACCGTGAGTAAAGAAAAAAATACATATATATTATTCTCAAATGCAAATGCACAGTACAAATAAGCACTACCAAAGAAAGCTGTGATGAGTAACCATCTAAGCCTAGAAGTAAAGTGATTTTGATTTGAGATAGGAATTAGGTTAGCGAGCAATGAAGTATGCAAGATTCTGGAAGGAGAGTTGCTAAGTTTAAATCCTGATTGCATGAAGGGTGTGTATGTGTTTTGTTTGTTCAGTCTGGGTGTCAGGGTACGAGTTCTGTGGGACCACAAATTAGCTGTGTACTCTTCGCTTTTGCCTACCCGTCTTTTCTGTAACATGGACAAAATACTAGAGCTTCTTTTGTTAGGATGCTTGTGAATAGCAATGCTATTTTCGGGCCTTAAAGCCAGAGTCTTTGAACATAAATTATAGCTAATTAGACTGATGCAATTAATTAGAATTGATATAATTCAGAGCAGGGACCCCATTCCCCCCAGCCATTTAACACTATTTACTGGACTCTTACTGATGAAATTCACACCTTTAAAATTATCCATTTTACAGGTTATCAGTGGCAGACAGCAGAGCATGTATTTAGGGATACAAAGTAAGCAAGTAAACTTTCATCCCTATCTTCTTACTGGCCACAGATATATGACTCATTTGCTTGGTTCCTGTTATAGGTTGGTTTTAAATATCATTTATAAGCTAATGTATTAAAAGCTTAGTCCCTGCCAGGCTGTGGTGGTACTCGCCTTTAATCCCAGCACTCATGAGGCAGAGGCCAGCCTGGTCTGCAGAGTGAGTTCTAGGACTTTCAAGGATACACAAAGAAACCCTGTCTGGAAAAACAAAAACAAAAACAAAAACAAAAACAAAAACAAAAAAGGTTTGGTCCCCAATGGGCAGTGTTCAGAAGTGAAGCCTTTGGATTAGGAAGGGCCTGACCTCATTAGCTGAGTAATTCTATTTATGAGTTCATATGGCTTGATGAGTTTGGGGATAAAGGATTTGTTATGAAATTGATATTTTCCTCTCTTTCCTGTCTGTCCTGAGTTGAGCAGCTCTGCTCCCTTACATCTCTGCCCCCCCCCCCGGTGTTCAGTCTTGCCAGAATTGCAGAAAGTATGAGCCATGGGAAGCCTTTCTTCTTCTAAATTAATTTGTCTCGGGCATTTTTAGCACAGTAGCAGAAAATTGGTTCATAAATAAAGACATGTGCTCAGTTAAGAAACAAAATCACTGGGCTGGCAAAATGGCTCACTGTGTAGAGGCACTTGTCCCCAGGCCTGATACCTGGATTTGATTCCTTGAGACCACAAAATGGCAGGAGAAAAGTGACTCCTAAAAGTTGTCCTCTGACCTCCTGGCTTGTGCTGTTGCACAGCTACACTCGCACACACATAAAAACAGATACATTTGTAGGATAAAGTAGAAGATCCACTCCTACTGTAAATACAGAAGGAGTCTTCCTGTAACCTATGGTAAGGTAGGAGAAGCTGTGAGTCAATGGTAAACTGGCTTACATAGGGAGACCTGATCTCAAAAATTTTCTAAGTTCCAAAAAGAACGTAGACAAATGTACTTCCACCCTTTCTCTCATTTCCTGCCTCTGCCTTCTTTGTTTAAAAAAACATTTCATTAATTCTTTAAGAATTTCCTACAATATGTTTTGATCCTATTGACCCATCCCATGTGCGTCAATTCCTCCCAGATCCACCCCACTTCCCTAGTCACCCAACTTAGTAGTCTCTTCCTGTCTTCCTTTTTAGCCCATCAAGTCCAATTTGTGCTGTCCAAATACTCTTCTTTTTTCATTTTATTTCAGTAAGAAACAAGCTTGCTTGACATGTCAATCCCAGCTCTCTCAAATACTCTGGTATAGTGTCTGCCTTGGAGTATCGTCATCCTACCAGTACTCACATCCTTAGAGAAAGCTGGCCCCTCTCCCAGCAGCTATCCGCTGCCCATAGCTCCTCAGCTATACTGCAATGGCTTCTCACCCCTCACCCATCCCTGCCTTTTTTTGTCTTCTGCTATGCTTTGTCCCTTTTATTTTAAAGACTTTTAAAAGAAAAACTCTGTATTTGTGTGTGTGTGTGTTTGCGCGCACGTGTGCACGCATGCACACACACACACATCTGTACTGCATGCCATCAGAGGGCAGAGTACTTTGGAACCCCAAGAACGTGAGTTACAGGCAGTTGTGAGCAGCAATGTGGGTGCTGGGAACTGAACCCTGGTTATCTAAGAACCGAAAATGCTACTAACTTCTGCGCAATCTCTGTAGTCCCCGTTATTTTGCATTTATTTGTCATTATTTTCTCTTTGTCATTCCTTTGGGCAGGAAAGTTCTCGAGGGAATCTATGCAGGATTACCCAGCAGGTGGCGTAGGAGGGCATGGGGCAAGGAACTGTGGATGCCCGACGGCAATAAGATGGCATTACTAAGCCAGGTAGAAGTTTTCTAAATTTCTTAGACTCCAGATTGGGATGGGACGCATTTCTGAGAAGGTCTTTTTGGGGGAAAGAATTAGTACACTACCTTCCAAGAGCCTCTGCTTCTGCTCTCTGTCTTCCTTTGAGTCCGCTTTCCTCTGAAAGAAGGCACAAAATCTGGAAATTAGCCGGTGCATGGTTTGTTGTGGGAGCGCAAGTGGCAGGTACTAGGAGGGAGTGAGTCTCTTTTGTTCAGGTCTGTGTGTCGGAGGAGGAGAAGCCTAATCACAGCAGCTGTGGCAGAAGCTAATCTACTTCCGTTCTTTGTTCGTCCTCTCCGGTCTAAAGCTCTCTCTCACTAGGGCAAGACTGCCACGTGTGGAGCTCACGTGTGGAGCGCACGTGTGCCTGCTCAACCAGCCAATAGGAGTGTAGTTTACTCAGTGATGGCCACGAGCTACGAAAGGTGGAAGGCTTTGAAGAAAAATGTTCGCAGGCAATATACCATAAATTCAAGAATAAGTAAATTGAACTGAGGCATGTAACTCGGTGGTACAGAGCTTTGGGTAGCATTCATGGATCCTAGGTTTAATTGCTATTACAGAAAGGAAAAAAAAAATAGGTAAAAGTTGCTTGCCAGCGGGGCGTTGATGACGCACACCTTTAATCCCAGCACTCACTCGGGAGGCAGAGGCAGGCAGATTTCTGTGAGTTTGAGGCCAGCCTGGTCTACAGAGCGAGTTCCAGGACAGGCTCCAAAACAATACAGAGAAACCCTGTCTCGAAAAACAAACAAAAAAGTTGCTTGCCACCAAGACAGACCACCTAAGTTTGATCGACGAATCTATATAGTGGAAAGAGAAAAGCAACTCCTCAAAAGCATCTTTCTTACCTCCTCATGTGTGTGAATGCATGCCCACTCTAGCTCTTGGGCACACTCCCCCTCTTGCTCATGCGCACAGGCACGCACACACACAATGTGTACAAATGAATGAATAATTAGTAATTTTAAAAAAGTATGTTCTCCCTGAGCACTTGGTGCTCATGCTTACAGTTGCTGCCAAGTCTGGGGCCAGGGGCTTGGGGGTCACCTTGGCGCACTGCCTATCTGTAGCCGTTTGCATCACAGACCATTTCCCAGGGAGTTTTCTGGGGATTCTGCTGGGGGGCGGGGGTTCTTTTTTGACACCAAGGAGACAAAGCATCAGGAGCTCCCAATCTGGTATTTATTCATGTTTAAAATATTTATTTAACGTGTATGCACATATGTGTGTGTACATAGTGTGCCTGTGGAGGTCAGAGGGTGATCTGACCTGCTGAAGTTGATTTTCTCCTACCATGTGGACCCTTGCGATTGAAATCAAGTCATTAGTCTTGGCGGGAAGGGTGGCAAAAACATAAATTGGGCATTTGGACTCCAAACAAAAGAACACTGTCTTACTGAGAAAGGAAATGAAAGAAAGAGAGCAGTTGTTTATCACTTCAAGATGAGAAAAAATGTGTAACAACAGGACATAATATACACTTTCCCATCCATCACTGATTTCTTAAAATTGAAAATGAGTGCGAGAGTAGTTATTATACAAAGAGAAAACAGTGATGATGGGCCTAAACAGTCAAACCATCTAATAACTATCTTTAGTTTTACTTTTTAGTTCGGCCTGCCTCTGCTTCCTAAGTACTGAGGTTAAAAGTATATGCCATCACGCCTGATGTATAATAATTTTTAAAATGGAGTAGTGTTTTAATCACATGTTTCCATATGATTTAATTGTTAGTGTATAAAGAAAAGGCCTATAATGACAAATAAATGCTTTCAAAATACAAATTAGTGTTTGTAGGCCTGAGAAAAAGAAAAGAGGAACTTTAAGAGAACTGACTCATACGCTGGTTGAGGCTATTGCTCTAAATGTTACCAGGTTTGCTTCTTGTGATTTGGCTGAATCTAGGAAGAAGGACTATACGGTAATATTTCATGGAACAGAGCTGTTTTAGAGTTGTCACTGGTTTTCATTACTGGTCTTTTCGTTACACGCTTAAGAAGTAACATATGTTTTTCATAGTCTGTGACAAGTCCCTTTGCTATGCTCTTTGCTGAAGCTCTGCAGGTGTTAGCTGTGCTTTCCCTTGAGCCTCCAGCCTTAGGGCAAACTGAATTTTACCAAACATCTACTCCTAAGTTGTTGGGCAGGATAGGGCAGTGAAGGTTGGGGACAGTTGGGTTAAAAATTCACAGGAACACAGTGTGACTCAGGATTTTTGACTGTTTTCTTTGAAGCATAGCATTTTTTAAAATACTTGATGTTTTATTCCAGTTGGGGTGGGTTTTTTTTAGATTTATTTATTGAAATTTTATTGTACCTGTCATTATTTAATGACCACCACTTATATCCATTAATGACTGAATAGTATTCTATGGTGGATGGGGGCCACACGGACCACACTTTGTTTATCTGCTCATGAGTTGATGAACACTTAATTTTTCCTATGTTTGGACTAATTGTTAACCATGCTGTGCTATGTAAATATTTTAAATTACTTAATAAATTTTGAAGTGAGTTTTTAATCTACTCTGACAGTTTCTGTCTTCTAATCAGTCTGTTTAGACCATTTAAATTGAATGATGCTGTAAACTTTTTATAATAGCACTCAGGAGACAGAGGCAGGTAGATTTTTCTGAGTTGGAGGCCGGTCTGGCCTTCAATAGAGAATTACAGGCCAGCCAGGACTGAACAGTGAAACCCCGTCTCAAGAACAAAATTAAAATGAGTATTGATAAAGATTTGAGTAAGACATATTAATATATTTTTGTCTCTTAATTCTGTTTCTTTCTCTTCTTCCTATATTCTTCCCCTCCTGTGGATTACATGAAAACTTTTAAAATTTCATTGTGATTTATCTGTACTGCTATATAATACAGTAATACAGTCAATTTTAGTGTCTGCCTCTTGTATTACAATTCATATTAACTTCTCACACTCAGCTGACATTGACATATTAAATTATTTCCAACACTATAGAAATCTCACTCCTTTTAGGTCTGCTGAACCTTTTTTAAAAATACATTTGTAAGTGTTTCAGCTGCAGGAGGGGAGCATTATGTTAGATGACATTTATTTTTGGAGGTTTCCATACTCAAACATAACTTTAAAAACATGAAAGGGACTGGAGAAATAGCTCAGCAGTTAAGAGTGCTTACTGATCTTGAAGAGGACCCAGGTTTGACTTACATGAAACCACATCAGTGCTCTCACAACCACCTGTACCTTCAGTTCCAGGGGTTCAGACATCACCTGGCCTCCATCAGCATGTGTCCACTGGCACTAGGCACACATACAAAAACAAATGCACTTTTAAAAACATAAGATAGTCCATTCCACTCATCCATATTTTCACTCATTTTACTTTTTTCTCTTTTCTTCATAGAATGACATTATTCTTTTGACATTTTAGGGTGTATCTGCTCTTCACAAATTATCCTAACCTTTTTTATGACTGTGTATATTTCCCTTAATTATGCAAGGATGTATTAATGAATAGAGAGTTTGTGTTTGGGAAGAGATGGGGAAGGGAATCGTGGATCAGTCCTGCTGAACTATCTCTTTTATGTTTCAGGTTTTCCCTTTAAAAAGCAAAACAAAAAAATCTCAGCCATGGAAGTAGGACAATGATCCAAGCATTTGTGAATGTTCTGGTCCCTGTAAACAGTTGTACAGGAGGCCAAAGAGCTATTAGAACGTGATGGTGAGCAGGCATTTTGAGAGGAATACTCGTGTATAGCTTCCTTGTAAAGCCTTAAAAGGCAGTAAGGTCAGTGCCTTTAACCCTGTAACCACAGGGAAGCATGAGGATTTCTTGCTTCATTAAATATGTAGGGCTTTCACGATATTTGGTTTAATTTAGTTTACATAACACAAAACCGGTGAAGAAAATAAGGGCATTTAAGCACACTAGTGTGTCACAAACAAGGAGCAAATGTAAATTCAAGAAAACTTGTTGAGCAACTAGGATAAACAGTTTAAAAGAGGCATTCTTAGAAATCCAGGCACTATGTTGACATTTGCCAACAACAAACTACACAGCACCAGTAAATAGAAAAATTACCTGAAAATGGCTTTGATAGCACTCCATGGTACAATTACAATTCTATTTGAATTCAAGAAAGGTGCAGTGTTAGGTTGGCCTTGTATCCTGAGGATACTGTGGAAGAAGGATGGAGGTGTGGATAGGCCCGGGCTTCTGGATATGGTTTCTGTACGACATCAGCAAAGTGGACAAATCCTGCTAAGTCCCCATTATCCTAGGGGATTCGCAAGGGGGAAACTCTGGCACTAGCACTTTCTAGACCTCTTGGTCCTCCTGCAGAGGTACTGAGCAGCCCAGGAAGGAGGTGGAGATGCACTCATACTGAGTACTGCTGGATCACACCAGTTTAGTGAGGTGGCCTAGACTCAACAAAGACCTGCTACGGGAAACCAGGGGCAGGGACCCTAAACCAGCAGCTCCAGGCCTGGGCCTCCGAGTGCTGGGGGCGGGGCCCTTTTAGGACCCCTGAGGCTAGTCGGCCAGCATGCTGCGGGGTCTCCTCATCAATCATCCCAGAGCCTGCAGCGAGGGGGGCGGAGCTGAGCAGCCGCAGGTCTGGCGGAGGTCGCCAAGCGACTGGTGGCAGCTGGGGGTGGGGGATGGAGCACGGGAGGCTGCAGGGGCCCGGGAGCCTGAGGGCAGGGCTGTGGACCGCGGGGGCGGCGGGGCTAGGCGCACAAGCAGGCTGTGCAGCAGGTGAGCCAGGCCTATGGCGGTGACGACGGCCCTGTCGGCTGCGGCGGCGGCGGCGGCCCTATCCGGCCTGGCGATGCGGCTGTCGCGTTGGGCGGCGACGCGCGGCTCCTACGGCGCCTTCTGCAAGGGGCTCACGCGCACGCTGCTCACCTTCTTCGACCTGGCCTGGCGGCTGCGGGTGAACTTCCCCTACTTCTACATGGTGGCCTCGGTGATGCTCAACGTCCGCCTGCAGGTGCGGATCGAGTGAGCCACCGCAGGCCACCACCGCGGCGGCCCCTCGGGCGGACAGCGCCATCCGCGCCGCCCGTGTCACCCGCGCCAGGCGGCCGCATGCAGGACCGTGGGTGGCCGCGCGGTGCCCCGAGACCGCGGCGGGGGGCGCAGGCGGGACGCCCCGGGCCCCTCCATTTTAGGCCTCCGCGGAGGGCACAAGGTACCGCATCCCATACCGCAAAAAACCTTCCCAGCCCAGTCCTGTTCCGCCTCTGCGTCCAGAGAATCACCAGAGTCTGGCAAACCTGTTGCCTCCCCTTGGCAGAAAGTGGGGGAACGCGAAAGAGGGGATGCAGCCGCAGGATTTACCAGGCCCTGTGCAGGAAGGTAGGCGCCCGCCCGCCCGCCCGCAGGTTGGAAAGGGGGCTGGTGGGGCTGACTTGTTTGTGGGAATAGGGAATGCACCCTGACACACCTGCTGCTTAGCCAAGCTGGGAAACTGAAAAGGTAGGCGAGCCTCTCCCGTGTTCCCTGGGGGTGGTTCCATGATGGGGTATTGGGCGGCCATGGCGACTGGGAGGGTCAGCACCACACACACACTGACAGGGAGCCCCTCCCTCCCATCTTCCAGGCCTCAAGTCTCTCTTTTCTTTTGTAGAGCTTCCTGAGGTGCAACCTGAACCCTGAAC